CCTTTTAACTGAAAATAAATCTTAAATTTTGAAAAGTGTGATTCTGTGCTAAAGCTAACACAACTTCAGACAGCCAAGAAAGCCAAGCCTTTTGCTGACTTTGCTACTTTTACATGCAATTATTTATCTGTTTGTATCCTGGCATATTCTCGAGGTAGTTCTTCCAACCTTTACCCTCCTTCTCAGTTTCTGAGCCCTACTTCCTACTTCTCTGAGAAGCTGAGGGCCACTGGCAGAGGTTGCATCCATTCCAAGCCTATCGCAATAGAAGCTCTTATTTTTTATCTTCAGTTCCCCTCTGGAAATAGAAATCTCCTTTCCAAGGCAACCCTTCTACCCAGGCCCTTAAACCAATTTCCATTCCAACTGGTTTCCCACAGATTATCTGATCCTTAGAACCTCGTGACAGAGATATTCTTGTCGCATTCATGGTGTTCTTGTCTACAAAATGGTGATCACTGACTTGCCTCACATTATTTGTCATCAAGCGACAAAGACAGAATTTAAATCAAGACATGCCAATTCCTGAGCCTCCGCAAGCTTCTAATCACCTCCTCACTGTCTCTTCACCAATGACTTAGCCAGAGGTTCTCTGGAAAACCACAATGGTTTAGGTTATCATTTTCTCACAACCTTCCTTTGCAATCCATCCCTAATTCCCCCACAAGTGTGATTATTAACTTCCTATGTTTGATATTACAGAGTTGGGTATAGCACAGTATTGGAGGGCAGAAGCACAGTCTGTTAGACAAATGCACAAATGCATAAACACTGCCTCTGTCAAGCTCCAGTCTGTGATCTTAGAGTTCCCCTCTCTCTGAACCTCAGTTTCTTCAGATACAGTATGACAACAGTAATTCCCTGTTAAGTTTTATCTCTTCAATATGAGGCGATGAGCTTTAGGGGCTCACAAACAAAACCAGGCCCGAACCCCGGCTCAACACTTACAACTGACTTCAGGCAGCTCACTTACCCTGTGATCCCAATTGTTTCGCACGTAAAGTGAGAATTATAATAGTGCCCATCTCCCAGAACTGTTTATACGTTTAAGTGAAATGATCCTGCTTATGTGCCTAATACCATGTCTAACAGATTACAATGCCAATACATACCACGTCACAAGACTGTCTGTGCTCGGTGAGCAAGGACTATGGGCTCACAGCGCTATCTTCCATCAGATCTTAGACAACATGACTGTTTAGGGATGAATCACATGAATTAAACCCAGGATCTTGACTGAATGCCTTAAGTTTAAGACAAAACAAATATTCTCTCTTCTATACTATCTGTAAGCACACTGAAGAAAGTAATCACCTTTCAGGCTTAGTTAACTACTCTTGACAATACTTTATTTAATGTGACTCACCTTTAAGCTTCTTAAGAAAGCTGCCCCAATGAACAACATATGTGGGTGCACTAGGGCAAATAATCTACATTACAACCCAGAAACTGATCACATTGGCAATTTAAACCATTTTCCCCCCACTCTTTTTTCTCAAAATGATGAAGGAAAGGCTTGCTTTAAATAGCACTTTTTGAGGATTTAAGTAGCTAAACCAACACCACAGGAATAAACCCGCGCCTGAACAAAGCCTGTGGGCTGAATCCTGGAGGCAGAGGCATTCCCTTTACACATAAAAGCCAAACTGAAAAACAAAGGTCTTAAAATAATGAAAGTGGGGGCTGCCGCTGTTACACAGCAAGTAAAGTTGCTGCTTGCAATGCTGGCATCCTATATGGACACTGGTTTGCATCCCAGATGCTCCACTCCCAACCCAGCTCCCTGCTAATGTGCCTGGGAGAGCAGTGCAAGATGACCCAAGTGTTTCGGCCCCTGTATTCACTTGGTAGACCCAGGAGAAGTAAATGACTCCAGGCTTAGGCCTGGCACCAGCTCCAACTATTGCAGTCATTTGGGGAGCAAACCAGCAGAGGGATATTTGCTTTTCATTCACCAAATATTAATACTAAGGCATATTATCATTGTTTAACTTAGAAATTTCCAGAAATACAACCAGTAAGTCTACTTTTCTACTTTAGCCCAAGATTTGGATTAGGTTAATGGTATCAGCTACGCAAGAACAAATATTTTCTCAAGAATTCAAGTACCTCTTCGATTTTTTTAAAGAGCACTATCTTGGAGCAGGTGTCATGAAGAGTGAAGCCACTACTTGGGACTGTAGCATCCCACATCAGAAAGCTTGGTTTGAACTTCAGCTACACTATGCTTTCAAATCACGTTCCTGCTTATGCACCTGGAAGTTAGAGCACATTGGCCCACGGCCTGGGCTTCCAGCCATTCTTGTGGAACCGAGTTCTTTCTGGGTGTGAGCCTGGCTAGCCCTGGCTGCTGTGGGCTTTGGGGAAGCAAACAGATGGACGCTCTCTTTACATTTCTTCCTCTCCTTCACTATGTCTTTCAAATAAATAATTCTAAAGTACTATGTTTGCCTTTTAACTTATGAAACTGAACAACTAAGAGCCGTCATGAGATTAACCTGAGACAATGCAGCCGTAATACCAATAACATCAATAGCACTGCTAGCATTTGTTGAATTTGGGAGTTCGTTACTAAGTTAAAAACTTTTTGTTCTCATAGTAAAAACAATCATTTTCCCGAATATACGCATATGGTTGAGGAAGAGAGAAAGGACACTGCTTAATTTCACAGTGGGACGGGAATCCAAACCTGACTCTAAAGCAAGGATTTGCAAACTATCCCCCTAGGTCTGTGTTCCCAGGATGGCACACGGCTAAGAATAGATATTATGTTGTTAAAGTTTAAAAAAATGCAACAGAGACACAGAGATCTTTGTAACTTGAAGAGTTAACAATCTTTAGTCTTCAGCCGTTTACAGAAAAACATTTACTGGCTTCTGGTCTAATGCTTCATACGGCTAACCACCAGGTCACTCCTCTCCATTTGGAAAGAGGCATCTGTCAACAGTTTCTTGTTTAACACCTAAAAAACTGTGACAAGCCATGATTTTCTCTATGTGTCTACACACACACACACTCACACACACACATTTCTCCAAGTTCCTTGAAGGTGAGCGTCTTAGACATTTTTGTATTTTTGGTGCATCATACATTGGAAGCCTAATCAATTGTTGAGGATAGTACATCAGAGTGTTACACAGAGAAATGCCTCTTTGACATAAGCAGTCCTGCAAACAAGATGCAAAAAAAAAAAAAAAATGAAAACCATCTAATATATGTAAAAGCCATCTAATATATCCAAAAGTCCCAGTGAACAAAATATTCCACATACAGGCTTAGAACTCTGTTAAGGTAACGAAATGAAAAAAACAACGAAAACAAAAACAACAAAAACAAGCCCAATTTCATGCATTATCCTGAGGCACACAGTTTCATTGCTATACTTGAGGTACACACATTCTAGAAGTCTGGATTTACTGAGAAGGGGCTGGGGGTGTTGCACGGAGCAATGTCTTTTGCGCCAAGCTCCATCTACCTAGTTGCACATCTGAGGCAAATTTCAACAAGCTCACCAGCTTATGACTGTTCTGAATGAAGAGAACCTTAACACCTGGCACAGCGCAGGCAGGATGCTCATTGGCTCTCACCTCTTCAGTGGTACCCTCACAGTCACATCTCCCCTTAAGGCCACCGCATTGCTCCAAACACCTCCTAACCCATGGTTTGATTTCTCCCTTTCATCCCACCTTGTGGCCAAAAAAAAAGAAAGAAAGAAAGAAAGAAACAAAACACGATGTTTGTAAAGAAGGCACACCAGGCCCGGTGCAGTAGCCTAGCAGCTAAAGTCCTCGCCTTGCACATGCCAGGATCCCAAATAGGCGCTGGTTCTAATCCTAGCGGCCCCGCTTGCCATCCAGCTCCCTGCTTGTGGCCTGGGAAAGCAATCAAGGACCGCCCAAAGTCTTGGGACCCTGCACCCGCTTGGGAGACCTGGAGGAGGTTCCTGGCTCCTGCCTTTGGATGGGCTCAGCTCCAGCCGCCGAGGTCACTTGGGGAGTGAATCAACAGACGGAAGATCTTCCTCTCTGTCTCTCTTCCTCTCTGTATATGTGACTTTCCAATAAAAATAAATACAGTTAAAAAAAAAAAAAACAGAAGGTACACTGAGACATAGGAATGGCAGCCAGGCATTCGGTAAGGTCACGCCACATCAAGTCCCCCACGCTGCTTATACAAAGTGTTTGTAATCACTGCTGGGCTGAAGTGTCCTGATCACCACGTAGTACACCTCCAGGCTGGAAGAATCTTCCTTAACTCTTGCCTGCCCTCACTTCTGTGCGCCTGAATTGGAAGGGTCAGCCATACCACCCGTATCAGATATTACAGGCACAGTACGAGAAATGAAACAAAAATGAGAAATTAAAAAGTCCTAAGCCTTGGATAGCCTAGTTCATGCTCAGTGTTTCACTTGGTCTCCTGAAGAGAAAGGTTTGCATCTTTAACCTCCGAAGGCCGGGGCGTAGCAAGAGCTAAGGGATGAGTAAAGGTCGACCCTGGCTACAAAAAGGCCAGACTCCGGGCAGTGGAGATATCGCCACTGCTGTAATGATCCTTGCACAAACTGACAGCCCAAAGAAACAGATGTCAAGGGTCTCTTCCCCTCCCCCAGCCCCCTGGCCGAACCAGAGGCACCGCACCCACCGCCTTCCCACCCTCAGCCCAGATCCCCAGCCTGGTAGGCAGAGAAGGTGGGGGAGAAGAAGGGGAGAAGGGGGTGGGGTCGCTAGAAAAAAAAAAAGGTGTGGACCGGTAGAGAACGTGGGGAGACGCTGAAGAGGAAAGGGGGTACGGCAGGGGAAACAGGGGGGTCAAAATATGAAGGGAGTGAGGCAGAGAAGCGATGAGAGGGGGTGTCGGGTGTCGAGGCAGAAAATGGAAGGAATTCAGGGAGCTGAACGAGGCCAAGCAGGGCCAGGAAAGGAGGCAAGGGAGGCAGCCGGGCTGGAGTGATGGTGGGATCCGGGGAGAGAAGCGGGACGCACAGGGGTTAAGGTACTTGCCATAAATCATAGCCAGGCCAGTTTCGTGCAGGAAGCGGGCCCTGCGATGCTTGAAGAGCCAGATCGTGAGGATGGTGAGGGTGAGCAGCAGGATGAAGATGAGCAGGTTAGCGCTGTCCTGCCGGTGGCTCTCCTCGGCTTGTTTCTCGGACACTATCTCCTCGTCCATGGCTCTCGCCGCTCGGCCGGAGCCGTCCGAAGCCCCGGCCCAGCCAAAGACTCCCACTGCCAGGAGCAACCAGAGGGGCCGCATGAGCCGGCGAACCCGGGGACCGCCGCCAGCGCCGCGACGGAGGGGAGCGCGCCGCCACCAGCGTCCGGCCATGGCCTCCCCCGCCCCCCGCCCCGCTCCTCACCGGCAACCGCCCGCGGTCGGACCACTCCCCGAGGGCTCACGGGAAAGGGGCGGGGCCCGAGGGAAGCCGTCGGGACGCGCGCCGCCACCGCCGCCGCCCTTAAAGGAGCCGCGGCACCGCACCTCTCCCTTTCTCATTCCGGTGCCCTTCCGCTCAGAACGGGCTCGCCCCTGGGCCACAGGCGATGGGAAGGCCGTCAAATAGAGCCCCCTCCTCCCCTGCGGAAAAAAAAAAAAAAAACAGTGCAGTGTAACTAAGTGCAGGCATTCTACTTTGATTGTCTTAAAGCCCTCAGGGGAATCGATTTCATCTCACTATTGTCCCCCAGTGTCTCTTAACAGATTAAGAAGTTGTCTCCTTGGGAATGGCCTCAATCTCCATCTCTGGAATTTAAATCGTATTGTTTGTTTTGTTGGGGGGGGGGGGAGTAGTAGTACCTAAAACAGTTGAGTCAAACCCATGGAGAAAGTGTGTGTGTGTGTGTGTGTGTGTGTGTGTGTGTGTGTGTGTGTGTGTGTGTGTGTGTGTGTGTGTGTGTGTGTGTGTGTGTGTGTGTGTGTGTGTGTGTGTGTGTGTGTGTGTGTGTGTGTGTGTGTGTGTGTGTGTGTGTGTGTGTGTGTGTGTGTGTGTGTGTGTGTGTGTGTGTGTGTGTGTGTGTGTGTGTGTACTCTTTTCCCTACAAGTAAAAACCAGATGTAAGTCACCTCTCATGTCAATGACCTTTACGTAGAAACTCATTAACCTTGCATAAAAAATTCCATCACTGCTTGTCCTCCCAAAGAAGCAGTCTTTTGGTGGTGTAGCGGCTTCCCCACTTCCCTCTGGCTTCTTTCTACTCCTCCTACAGACTGAATGTTTCCACGGGGGAGAGGGGGGTGTCACATTTAACCCCTCTCTTCCTCAAGAACTATTTCTTGTTGTTCTTTTTCTCAATGAGAATTTCACATGTCCTTGCTGCATCTTTGTCTTCGAGAACAGTGGATTCCTTTGCCCCCCATATTACTAAAACCACGCCTTGTTTGCTGTGTGCTGTTTTCTCCAGACTTTGTTTTCTCCATGAATGAGTTACAAATGTCAAGTCTTGGCTTATCACTCCCTCCAGGTCGCTTCCTGTTGGATATTGACCCTATCTTGTCCAGGCTCTCATCGCCTAAAAATGTTTTGAAAAACTACTTTCTCTCACCCTTACTATAATATTCCTTCTCCAATTCTTTATACTATCTGTGGTACTACTAACAATCCCATTTCTCTCTGCCTAGAACTCTGCAATGTTTTCCTCTCATAAACATATAACCTACCCATTAAAAGAAATGCTCAGGACATTCCTAAGAGCCATAGCTCTTAAAGGCTCTGTAAGCGCGGTTGGCTTTGGTAGGAAACATGTCGGAGTCTGACTTTGGCAGGAAGTGGGACCGGTGTATGGCGGATATGGTCGGGAACATAGGTACTGGTTTTGAGTTTGTATTCTAACTTACCTTTTTTGGAAAAAGATCATGGCCTTTGGCCTCTGGCTCGGCCATGGGCCTCGGCATGGCTTACTCCAACTGTCAGCACAACTTCCAGGCGCTGTACGTGCTGCACAGGAACCACAGGAAAGAGCAGGAGCAGCAGTGCCCTACACCAAGAAGGCCACAGTGTGTGCCAGGGAAGGTGGGTCCCCACCCGTTCCTCAGGAACCCCATGGCACCCCAGAGTCACCACCAGGATACCACCGTGCTTGCCACGTTGGGGCTCTGCTGCATTGAAACCAGTCCATCTGTTACTTTGTATCTTCTCTCTGGAAGTTGTAAGCAGGTGGTCTTAAGAGAAAAAGAAACAGGGAAAAAAAGTGATTGACTTTAAAAAGGGGGGGTGGGGTGGAGAGAGCTCTAAAATGGTGTTCAACTTCAGATTCTGTCCTGGCCAAGTCAGTAATTCTGCTTGTTTCCCTGCTGTTATGGCTGAGTTTGTTCTGCGATGGCAGAGTAGTTGCTGAAGGATGGTGGTCTGCCAAGTCTAGAATATCCACTCTCTGGCCCTTGGTTGGGGAAAGCTACTGGCCTTAGATTGTACCAGTTGCTCCTTCACATTTCTGTAAACATTCTTCCTCAAACACCAAGTTATTTATACAAACTGTATCCCTGCTCCAAAATCTCCAATGGACCCCACAGCCTTCCCTTCCAGATTCTTAGCCTGGACACCAGGCAGCCTCATCACTCTCATATTCTTTCTTGGTTTCATGCCTTTTTGCCTCCTTTCCAATGCTTGAAGAATCCTTCAACCTCTTCCTCACTTAACTAACTGCTCCTCTGACAAAAGTTCACCAATCTTTTCAGGATGCCTTCAGAGTTAGGGGCCCCCCTTCCACAGTTCTCCATGAGTTCCGTTAACAGATCTCTATTCCACCCCACCCCCACGGTATATTTTCATGTTAGACTTAAAAGCTTGTTTTTCCACCACTCATAAGCACCTGGAAGTCAAGGACTAGGTATCATTTATTTCTGTAAAAATGGCATCTAACACAAGGCCTGACAGAAATCAGCAGGCAATAAAAACACATGCAGGAACTTCGAACAATTCAGGAAAAAAATAGAATTAAAAGATAGGCTTTATTGAGCAAGATAGACTTTATTGTGCAAAAAAGTTTGAGATACATAGTTTTCCATAGCACATATTTTCCATGAGCTTTCCAAAAATCATATGCTTAATTCTTAAAATTATTTTTCATCTAAATAATCTTTCATTCCACTTTCCAGGAGCTGCTTGAAGTAGCCTCATATCTGTGGATCCATGGATGTTTCTCAAACTTGAGAGCCAAGAAAATCTCCATCTTGTACATGATATTAAATTTCTCTTGGTGGGCCCGGCACAGAGGCCTAGCAGCTAAAATCCTCATATTGTACGTGCCTGGATCCCATGTGGGCGCCAATTCTAATCCCAGCAGCTCCACTTCCCATCCAGCTCCCTGCCTGTGGCCTGGGAAAGCAGTCGAGGATGGCCCAAAGCCTTGGGACCCTGCACCCATGTGGGAAACCTGGAGGAAAGTTCCTGACTCCTGGTTTCGAACTGGTGCAGCTCTGGCTGTTGCAGTCACAAGGGGAGGGAATCATTGGATGGAAGATCTTTCTCTTTGTCTCTCCTCCTCTCTGTATATCTGACTTTGCAATAAAAATAAATAAATCTTTAGAAAAATGTATCTAGGTATACCTAGTCAATCAGGGATACATTGAAACAGAGCTATGCAGGCCTGAAACAACAGCTCAGTGGCTAAATTCTCACCTTGCTAGTGCTGGGATCATATATGAGCACTGGTTCGTGTCCCAGCTGCTCCACTTCTCTTCCAGCTCCCTGCCTGTGGCCTGGGAAAGCAATAGAGTACAGCCCAAAGCCTTGGGACCCTGCACCCCCGTGGGAGACCTGGAAGCTGACATTTTGCTTTGGATGAGCTCAGTTCTGACCAATGTGGCCACTTGGGGAGTGAACCAGCAAATGGAAAATTTCTCCTATCACTTCTCTCTCTGTATATCTGCCTTTCCAATAAAAGTAAATAGATCATTAAAAACAAATAAAGGAAAAATAAAGGAGGAAGGAGAGGAAGAAGGAAGGAAGCAAGAAAGCTTTGCCATACATAGTAAGTGCTCAAATAGTTGATACTTGAATAACATAGTAAAATTTAGTATACATGATCTTTGATTCATTGGTGGTACTTGACAAACACCAAACTAACGAATTTGTGCATTGAGGAAAGGACTGGGAAGCTAGATTGAGGTCCTATTGTGGATAGTCTCCATATGACAGCAAATTTTAATTCATTCAAAAAGTTTCACAATGTTAATTTGGCAATAGAAGGGGGAGGTAAATGAAATGCAGACAGATGAGTAATAGGAGGCCAGATAGGATGTTAGAAAAGTAGTGCCGTTGAAAAGTAACAAGACGTGGACCCGGTGCAATACCCTAGTGGCTAAAGTCCTCACCTTGAACACCCCGGGATCCTATATGGGTGCCGGTTCTAATCCCGGCAGCTTCACTTCCCATTCAGCTCCCTGCTTGTGGCCTGAGAAAGCAGTCAAGGACGGCCCAAAGCATTAGAATCCTGTAGGCATTGGGACCCCACACCCACATGGGAGATCTGGAAGAAGCTCCTGGCTTCTGGCTTCGGATTGTGCAGTTCCAGCCGTTGCTGTAGTGAACTATCAGATGTAAGATCTTTCTCTCTGTCTCTCCTCCTTTCTGTATATCTGCATTTCCAATTTAAAAAAATAAATCTTGTAACAAGACTTTAGCAAGTACAGTAGAAATGGAAATGGGAAAAGGAATACAGGAGTCGGTGCAGAGGTAGGATGACCTACCTTCGCAGCTGAGTGAATGTATGAGTGGAAAACACTTGAGGAAGACTTGAGAGATCGCTCCAAGGTTTGAAACATGGACAACTGGAAGACATAGGGCATTATTACAGCAGTCAGAAAGTCCACTTGGCACCAAGGAATGAAGGCACTTGTGTGATATTCTACGACAGATATGAAGCTAGGCAGAAAGTTGACTGTAGTTTCAGAGTGAAATCAGAACTAGCAGTTGACTTGAAAGCTATATGTGCAATATTGAAGCTGTAGGAATTAGTGCATTCTCCAAAGAAAAGAAGGTGGAAAGAGACTGTCTTAGGGCAACAGAACAGGGAATTCCTGCGTTCCAGTAAGATAAAGAAATGGTTACAGTTATCAGAACTCAGCAGAAGGATGCCTGAACTTCCACGGGTTATTTTCTAAACAGACCAACCCATGCTACACTGCTGGGAGAAAAGCAGCTAATAGCTGGCAGTCATTCTGGACCTGGTTAATGCCAAATTTGTGTTAACTCTACCAGTGTACCAGCATAGTTGCCAATTCCTTTTTTTTTTTTTTCCTTTATTTTAAAGTTATGTCAGGGACAGATGCTGGCATGCTGGTAATGGGGACTGGGGACCCACACCTGAATGTGTGTGGGCCCCAGTCAGGCAGACGGGGCTGTAGGGCAACACGACATACTGCTGGAGGACTGCACACTCACAGGTATGGGGGGCTGT